TTCTATTTGAATTTCCTTTTTTTTCAAATCAAAGGAAAGAAGAAAAATATGAAATCCCTCAGCTTCTCGTACAACATGGAGAAGGATTTACATAAAATATATGAATGCTGTAAATAAAACTAAATATTCCACAGCAATCAATTTTTTAGTCAGAATTGAGAACATTTCACTGTTTTTGGTTAAAGGAAGGTGGATTTTTTAACTAAGGTTTTGTGGAACTGTTTCTAGTGGTGACATTTTCTCTTTTCAGCTAACTGTAGAGATAGTATAGATTCCTTTTTTTCCTCCTTCTTCTTAGGAAATGGAAATTATTACTGTCCAAGCCCACTTTCACATCTCCAGTATAGGGAGGGTACTTTACATACTCTTGTTTTCAGTAACTTTTTACCTTGGTGCTTAAGGGTAGGCAGGCTTGAGATCTCAAATGTGCTAAAGAGAAGTTCATGTTAAAATCCCACACTGTATCCTGGAGGCAATGCCAATTTTATGCATTAGGCTTTTGCATTGCTTTAGAGGCATTTTTTGCATTGTTTAAGAGGCTTTTGCCTCTTTAAAAGCAGGAATGTCCTTTCACCAATTCAGCATTCATAAAGGGTGTGTGTGTATGGAATTTCTGCCGCTTGTTTTATCAGTGTGGGTCTGGCCTGTGCTATCCAGTGCTAAAGACAAACTATGGCTTTATGTCCCTTCTGTGGCAAGAGCACCACCCACTGCCCTGAAGGACCAGCCAGGCAGGCTCTAAAGATGTGGATCTGGGCTCATTTTGTGCCAGGCATGCCAGGGTTTCTTTACAGCAGTTCTCAATAAAGAGCAAATTGACTGACATACAACTGAAGAGTTTGCACAGTCCTCATAATGCTGTAAAGTACATTTGCCCACTTGGGAAATCCTGTCTGAGAGACACTGCAGGTCCTGATGCACATTTTCATTCTGTGGTTGATTCATCCCTCTCCAAACGGTTCATGGTCCTCAGTTATTTAATAGATCATCCTAAGTGTAGTTTAAATAATTGCCTTGTGGCTGTTGAAAGCTCACACTGAGACAACCACCACAGTGTGAGATTTTTATTGATCAGAGAGTATTGTTTGAAGCAGAAGGACTTGAATTAAGAGGGCTCTTTGTAGTAGAACAAATTCTCAAGAGTTATCTCTCATATAAAGGCAGCACTTATTTTGGAATGTGGCTCAAAGCATTTTTCATGTTTTCAAGTGAAGCGTCTGTTGTGTGAGTTAATGATTTTGATGATTTTAGCTTTCAGAAGACATCAGAAAGCAAAATATTGGATTTGGGGGCTCTGTGCTTGAAAGAAATAAGATATTTTCCTTTAATTTCCAGATCAACTATATATTTCTGGTTTGTATCTGCTCTGGTACATGGTTTTAGTTAATATGTCTGAAAACTCCAGATTAAACTGGGATTGTGTATGTGCAGTTGTGCCAGGTTATCTGAGGGTTTTTTTTTTTCTCCTTCCTCATACTAGGGCAGATTCAATTTGATGGTAGTCCTCACATTTCTCATTTTTCATCATGCTCTTTTAAGTACAACTGTTCTCACCTGCCTCCTTCAGTCCCGTAAATGTCTTGTACTCCAGCCAGGACTTGTCTTGCCTTTTCCTTTAGAGGAAGCTCACACAAATCTGTAGCAGTTTTTCTAGTGACAGATTTCAAAAGCAGATAGCAGAGCCTTTTTCAGGATGCCCTGGGGTGTCCTGTGTCCCAAGGTTTTACATGAAAGTCAGTGCAGAACATCTTGGCCTTTCCCATTTAAGAGAAGCAAACAGGTAAAGAGCTCTAGGAAAGAGGAGCTGTGCAATAACACTGGCTGCATGTCCTGTGTCGGCCCTGGCTGGTTAGGGGAAAAAAAAAACCAACCCTGTACACTGCAGGCCTCTGCTTCTGGTAGTTCTGAGTATTTTGCAGTGAGGTGGCCAGTCCAGCAAAAATAACCCTGGAATGATTTGATTTCTTCCATTGTTGCTGTTTTCTGGAAGCAAAGGTCTGCTTCCCCAGGGGCTTAGAGAGCCAGTGTCTTGTCTTGGAAGAGTTAACCAAACTACTTTAATGAACCAACCACCAAAATATTCCAACAATCCCTTTGAAGTTCCTGTATTTTTTGTGGAGGGACTGTATCTGCTGTCCTTTGGCACATCCTGCCTGCTGTCCCCTTCACAGCCCCAGTGCACAGCAGGCAGGCATGGGAACACCTCTCCTATCACTGGGCTGTTGATGAGCTTGTTCTCAATGTGCTCTTAGCTGTAGGCAGAGAAAAAGAACAGTACAACAGTATCCTTGGTGTCCAGTTTAAAGCTGGAAAAATTGAGTTTCAGCTGCTCCTCACAAGCCTCATAACAAGCTGAACAGGGGACATGAGGGCTGCTTTGTATGCATAAGCCTAGAGGGTCTTGTTCACTGCAGCTGAAATTTGTGGTGAACAGATCTCTACAACACGAATTCCAATGTCATAGCAGCTTTACGCTGAGTGGTTTAATTTCATGCCAGCTTTAGATAAGACATTTTTTTGTTTCGTTCCTGTGGTTATTCAATAGCCTGTTGTTAAAAGTCAGCACTCAGGTTTGTGCCCATTGCAAGCCAGAAGCAGAAAACAATCCAGTAGTGCTACAGCAATGAGAAAGTTATCTTAATCTAAATTATACAAGAAATAAGCAAAATATTTGATGGGGACTCTGGTTATCTTTTCATGTCCTCCCAGCTTGTGCTCTTTGCTGTGACAGGAATTTATATATGGGGTTTAGAACTAAGAAATAATGTTTGACTCTTCTTGGTAATTCTTTCTAGAATCACACTTAGTAGAAAATTAATATTCTTACTGTTTCCCTTTCCTTCATCCATGTTAATATTTTAAAATAGGAATTGCCATGGAAGCAAGATAGTTGAACTGCAGCTGTGGTAATACCTTTCTAGAGCATACACCTTTCTTTTTATTCACCCAGTCTTTATAAATTTCAGGAGTCCTATAGTTGTAAATAAAGACTGTTTTGAAACCAATCTGCACATTATCAAACACAAATTTTGTTACCAAGGGTACAAGTAGGTGAATATTTGCATACATAATTTTCCACAAAAGAAATAATAATTTTCCACATTCTTCCATGTCTTTCCTATGCATGGAAAATTGATCCTTGTTCATTTTCTGAAGACTCCCACTGCAGCTTTTTCATCCCTGTGCAGCTGCACCTGCCTGGTGCCCCACAAAGTCTGGAATTACTCAGTATGCAGAGCAAGGAGGAAATGTGGAGGTGTTTATCCACCAGTATGTGCTGTTTGCATATATATCAGCAAAGGCAGGAGGCTCAGAAAACTAAGGAAAACAACAGGACTTGCTCTGAGCCACCTTTGGAGGCATGGTAGGGAATTAAGAAGTTTTTCATCAGGATATCTCCCTGCAGTGTAACAGCCTGAGTACATCTTAAAAAGGTTGGAGAGAGAGTCCTGATGCAGGGAAGCTGGAGGAGAACAGGTAAAGCTGACTCTGCTCAGCTCTCTGAGTGAGCAGTGGCTGACTCCTCCATTTCCCAGGGAGCTGGAGCACACCTTGTAGGGATGAAGGACTGGATGCTGAGGAAGGGTTAATGAAGGGACAGAGAGAAAGAGCTGGGAGTCCCTAGGCCCTGGTGTAGCATTCTTCTATTTCTGTCCCTGGTCACTGACACCTTCCTGGAGCTCCTGGGGAATATCAGCACTCACTGTGTGTTTGTCACTGTGCCAGTAGGAGCTATCCTAAAACACAGTCCTGTAGTTGTCTGCCCACTGCACAACTGTTTAAGGACATTTCAGGGAGTGGGCTTGAAGGTTTTTTTCCCACCTTGCCTGTAAGTTCAGTGGCCAGAACCCTAAAAGGTAGGGCTCCTCTTGGATACCAAATACCATTTGTAAAGCTTTGATGCATGTTCTTTTTGAAGGCCTTGGGCCATGAGCTTTGTCTAGCCTAAGTTACCATTTGGGAAATAGGTGCTTTAGGATTGAGCTGGCATCCCAGGAACCTTTGTCATGTAAGAAATAGCATGCTTGGTTTATGGGGGGGCTTTTGGTTCTCAACAGTGTATTGCTATTTCCACTTAAGTAAGATTTAATTGTAAATGTGAAGCTGCTCATTAGCAGTAGACTGCTGTTGTTGTAACAGGATAAGTTGTTCAGCTGCATGAAACTGTTCTCCATTACTTGCTTTACTCTCTTAAAAGTTTCAGTTTTATGTCTTTGGAAGCAGTCCCTTACAATAGCAGTTACCCTTCCTCACATCGTGATTTGGGGGTTAAAAGTCCAGTTCCTGTTCTAAGATGCTAAGAACAGAAAATGGGGATCACAAATCACTGTTCCTTCTTCCCTAATATGCTCCTACACATTCATTTGATTTCTGCTCTTCTGACTTTTCCCAAGGTGTAAATCAAGTCAGCTTGCAACAGTGCTGCTGTTGATGTTGTGCTTTTGATCTGATAATAAGGCACTTAAAGTGTTAAGAAATTGAAGTCAAGTTCCTCCACCCAGCTCAAAGCCAAGCTAAAACACTCCAAGCCTTAAGCTGAGGTGCTGTGAAAAGTTGACCTTTAAAGCTTAAGCTGCAGCAAAATTCTGTTTCTAAGCAGCTCTTAAAGTAGATGGTGGGCAACCAGAGACCTCCAGTTACGAACATTAATTTTCCTTCTGTACCACAGAGAATTTTTTCTATGGTCATGGGCCTCTTGAAGTGACATAACCTGTTGTGTTTTGCAGTTCTCTTTCCTCACTGTGTCCAGGATAGAACCATTCCTGAAGAAGTTTGGGAATGAGGGCACTTCTGTGGCAGCTATTGTGGCATTTTCAGAATTTCCTGCAGCTTTCTCTCTTTTGGGGCAAGCTGTATATCTCAAATTCTGCTGGAAGCTCTCAGCAGATTTAGTACTTTGATGAAAAAATATTTATATATATTTATATATTTTATATATATAATTTATATATAAATAACTTATATTTAACTGATATTTAATTTTTTTTCCTGACCCCTAGGTGTAGCTGCATCTTGGCAGGTGAGATGAACATAGAAAATGAGGAAGTCCTTTGGAGGATGAGCTGCTGGGAATAGCCTGACTTCTGGGAAGAAATCTGGTGCCAAGGGCTGGCTGTATCAGGTGGGTGAAGGTAATCCCTGAGCATCCAGCATTGCTGGAGCTGCCACCTTTCCACTCCTTCTGCAACTGACATGACTTTGGGTACTTAGATTTGAAAATTGTTTGAGAGCTGAGCTTTGGCACAATTTTGATTACCACGCTGGAGGTAAGTAATCTACCACCAAACTGTTCAGATGTAAGAATTCGAAATTTTGCATTGCAGTCTGAAAAATAAAGGTAAATTCCCAGGAATTTAGTATATTTGCATATTCTGCTTGTTTTCCTTCTCCTTGGGTTAAATTCCTGTTAGAGGCAGGTGCCATTGCTTGGTTGTTGACAGATGACACCAGAGGTAAGGAATGGCTGTTCTGGGGGGTAATTTCCATGAAAGATATTCAGGGAGTTAATGCTGTGGATCCCACTGATTTAAAATTGGAGATACAACAGAGACCTGCCATTCACTAACTCATCCTGCTGGAGTTTTTCACACAATATAGTCAGGAATGACAAGCTACCCTTTTCCTCCAAAAGCCTCTGAATCAAAAGAAAGAAGAGACAGTGAGCATTATTTGCTCTGCCCAACATGTTTTTAGAGTCCTCTAACCTCTCCCACCTCAGTTTCTCTTTCCTGGCAGAAAGATGCTAATCTAGTCATCCCATGGTCTGACACAGTTTCTTATCTCTGATCATTCTGTCCCTTTCCATGCTTTTCCAATTCTGCTTTACTCCCTCGAGGTAAGAAGGTCAGAACCATAAGTATTGACTTATGGGAAATCTGTTCTTTTCTAAGTTTTAAAACATTAGTTCATTTTGCGTTTTTGACTCTTGAGGTTTGACTCATATTGAACAGTCTGTTTCCAACACATCTTAGTTATAATCTTAAGGTCTCATTCTCTTTGTTTTAAAGAACACATTTTCAAAATAAATTCACAGGTTTTCTTGAAGAGTGGTTTGCTTTTAAGTTTTACTTTTTGGACTGTTCAATAGGATGCTAGTGCTTCATTTCCTTCAGGTAGATGTTACCTGTGGCATCTTTAAAGCAATCTTAGGAGTGAACATTTACAGGAATTTCTCAAATAAGAATTTTTGATCTTTTGAATAATGTACCACAAAAGGACACAGAAGCCTGTTAGAGTTATATGTGAAATTTGATGTGCTGTCATTCTAAAATAAATAATTGATGTTGGCTGAAGAAAACAACCCACACCTACCGGTTTATTTTCCAGCTCCATTGCTATCTGCCTGTGTTTGCCATGGCAGAAATATGATTGCTTTTTTGCTTAGATTCCACTATTCCATTGAACATGTCTGCCCATATTTTTTTTCAGTATGGATACCATTCTTTATTTCTTTGTTCATTTCAACATAAGCATGGGCTTCATAATTGACATTGTTGACTCGAGGAGCAGGTCTATTGCTGACAGATGAGGTCTCATCTGAAGCACTTGTGTGAGGAGGGAAGAGGGGGAACGGAGAAGAAAGAGCTTGGATCTGATGCCTTAGGTTTTAGCTTTTTTATATTTTTCAGATTCTCTGCTTCTTTAGTGTGCATTTCTGAGCTTTATATTAGGGGATGGTGAGCTCTCTGCACAGCATAGGGAGACAATTCCTTCTCTTCCTTCTCTAGCTGAAGACCAAATACAAGTTTCAGGCCCAAGAGCATAAAAGGTAAACTGAAGAAAGAAAAGAAGGATGGGACTTAATAGCCTGAAGCTATAATTGGACAATTAACTCCAATATGCAAATGGACCAGAACTTATAAAGGTGAGAGACCCTGTGACCGGGCGTCCATTTTGTGACCATTTTGGTTCACCTTGGGTGCAGTCCTGTCTGGGCTCTTGTGTTGTCCAAGGTGGATCCATGGAGGCCTTTTAATAAACCCCTGCTTTATTCTTTAGCTCTGTCTGGTGTCTGTTCTAGCTTTTGTAAGATATCAGATCAGGCAAAAAATGAGCAGGAATGCTTGTATTGGCCATGTTCGGATGCAGTGTAAGGTTCTGCAGGGCTGGTCCCAGGAGGGGAAGTGCTCCCAGAGCTGCTCTTGTGCTCTGTGTGCAGCCACCTGAACAGAGCCTGGCCACCCTGTTCTCTGTTCCTAGACTTGTAACGGGACCTTTGTGCCATCCCATTAAAGCCAGGATGTTGAAAGAAACAGAACAAGCACGAAACAAAGGCCAGGTGCAGTCAGATGAACTGTTAGGATATGGTGGAGGAAATAAATGCTGATGTCGGGCAATAAAAATCTCAGTGAACAGCTCTGTGTCCATTATTTCCAAAAAGCGAGCGGAGCGGAATTTGGAACGGTTTGGTTGCAGACAGCGATACAAACAACCCAGAGGTAATTGGATACTCTGCCTGTTAGGAACTGCAGATTGTGTTTTGCTCTGTGAAATGGTCCAGCCTGTGACCCTCGTGGGTTTGCTTTGCTTTTCTAACAGCAGAACTGGACCAGAGGGAGCTCAGCAGAAGGATACAGCCACAGAGAGCAGTATTGCCCACGGCTTAAAATCTGTTCAAGGGAAATAATATCCAAAGAAAACCAATCAAAGGACTTTATATTGCTTAGGTCCATTAGGGCTAATTAGCAGCATTGGATGATAAAGTTTTGAAAGCCATGTTAGCCCATAGCTAATACTTGACAGCTGGCACAGGGAATATGGCAGGAGCTGTTCTCCCTTTCTGTAAGGGGAGGGAGTCTATAAAGTTGAAGTGTTTAGTAAGCAACTACATTAATTATTTGCTGCCTACTCTTGTAAGTAAAAAAATCTTGGGATTATCTGGTCTCTGAGGAGAAGAGCACTGACAAATGAAGATTGTCTGGACAGTTGCAATTTTGTTTAAAGCTCCCTGCAATGAGCAGATGTTTGGACAGCTGAGAATTTTCATCTGAGCTTTCCTGAGGGGACTTTGTAGCCCAGCGTGTACTGCAAGTCTGTGGGGATGTATTTGCAGCAGGCCTTGAGGTTTTTCACCTTCCTTTGTATTCACCAAAAGGATGATAAAACTAAAACTAAATGAAACTTGTGTTTAGTAACTAACTTGTGTTTTATAACTAAACTAAACTTGTGTTTAGTTAAAAACTAAAACTTCCCCTTTCTATGTTGCGCATTTGTTTTTTAGAAACAATCTCACTGACTAGAATGACAGTCTCTACCTCTTTTCAAAAGAAAGGAAGGAAATGCTGAAGTAGCTTAAACTTGTTATGAGCTACAAAATTAGGGCAAGAAGGGCACATAAGTGGGGATTCCATCTTCTCCTTTGCACTCTGCACAACCAAGGTCCAGAGAGAGTTGAGCCTTGTGCTTACAAGGGTGCTTACAAGGGAGGGCAGTGCTTCCACAGGAGGGAAAGAGCTTGAACTACTGCTTGAGGGGTGAGTGGGACTCCAAAATCTGTATTTAGTTGACCTTCAAGATACAAGTCTTCTTCCAGTCCAAGGTGGGCAGGAAAGATTTGTGTCTGTCATGCCTTCAGCTCCTCTGATACCAACACCAGCCAGGTTTCTCCATCTATCTGAAGCTCTTTTTGTGGGTAAAAATAAGACAACCAGAAAGGAATGTTTTCTTAATGATCACACTAAAAGGGAAAATTATCTGCAGGAATTACTCCTGTCACACTGTGGAAGGACAGGTATTTTATGGGGTGGAGGCAGTGCTTAAGGGTGCACTGTTAATGCTCTGTGTATTAGATAGTGAATGGAAGAGAAGTGCTTTGTCATTGTAGATAAAACAAATAATTGGAAATATGATTAATACAGGGAGAGAGAGAGAGGTATTTTTGAAGTCAGGTCCATCACGAACCACAAGAAGCATCTCTTTTTGTATATGACTGTGCTTCTAAGAGCTTGAACTACTGCTTGAGGGGTGAGTGGGACTCCAAAATCTGTATTTAGTTGACCTTCAAGATACAAGTCTTCTTCCAGTCCAAGGTGGGCAGGAAAGATTTGTGTCTGTCATGCCTTCAGCTCCTCTGATACCAACACCAGCCAGGTTTCTCCATCTCTTTGTGGCTAAAAATAAGATGACCAGAAAGGAATGTTTTCTTAATGATCACACTAAAAGGGAAAATTATCTGCAGGAATTACTCCTGTCACACTGTGGAAGGACAGGTATTTTATGGGGTGGAGGCAGTGCTTAAGGGTGCACTGTTAATGCTCTGTGTATTAGATAGTGAATGGAAGAGAAGTGCTTTGTCATTGTAGATAAAACAAATAATTGGAAATATGATTAATACAGGGAGAGAGAGAGAGGTATTTTTGAAGTCAGGTCCATCACGAACCACAAGAAGCATCTCTTTTTGTATATGACTGTGCTTCTTTTCACACAGTCACCCATAACATTTACCTTTCACATCTCTTTCTAGATTTGCTTTCTTTATAATACTGCATTTTTTCCAGCATGTTTTGAAAGCCCAACCTCTTAATTTAATGGACTCAAAAAGCTGCTTCCCTGAAGCTGCCTTTTTAGTTCCTGTTTACTGCAGTCTTTTTATGCTTCAGTTTACTTTAACTCTTTCTTTTCCATCCCCCATTCTCCCCATCTTTTTCTTTCCCAGCTTGCCATGTTTTATTTAATTGGGAAATAAAGTACATATCTGTGGTAATTGGGTCAATTCAGGTGTTTCTAGACCATCTTAAGATAAATTTCAAGTTGTGCCAAATAGAAAGTTCATAAAAAATTGTTCAGTTTGGGTGCATTTTGCCAGCACCTTTTCCTTCCTTCTTAAATTGTTTAAATCCATTAAATGTTCTAGAGGTTTAAAGATTAAAATATCTTAATATAGGCTAGAGATGTAAAAGCTTAAAGCAAATCCTCTCTAAGTTTATGAGCATAGCAAGAAGTTAATTAAAGTCAACCAAGAAAATACAAATGCTAGGGAAAAAAAAAATCCACATTATGAAGAAATGCAAATTCAGGATTTGTAAATGTGAGTTTCCATGAGTGAGGTTGGGGCAGGTCCAAGTTAAAGCTTTTACCTCACCCTTCAAAGCCACTATTTTGTGATCACAGAGATGATGTGAC